TGCTATGCTTCTCTTTTTGAGAAAAGGAAAGATCGAAAGCAAAAAAATAAAATGTCTAACTTTGTGGGATGCGTGGCCTGTTTATTCATGCATGCCATGATAAAAAATAAATAAATAAAAAACAGGAATGATGAGGCTTTGTGTTTTTAAGGAAGGCAGACTGACTCTGTAAGAGTTTAGCGCCCAATTGAAAAACTACAGATTCAAGCGGTCAAAATTTACTTTTTTAGAAACAAGACAGAAGGATTGCACAAACAGAAGTCTTTAAATATGGATATTTTTGTTTTAGATGGAAAGAAATATATCCTATATGTAATAGCATTTACAAACGTTTTTCTACCTAGCTATCTACCTTGTTGGCTAGCTAGGTAATTGTTGGCTGGCTAGCTCATTTGTTCTTAAAAATGTAGATAAAAAGCAAAAATCATTGCTTTTAAATGCAAATTGTCAAAATCCATCTGATTATCATCCATCTACTGCATAGTAGTTGACATTTTACGAAGCCTGACATGTGGCGGACTCATCTAGGGGATTCTTTTGGGGCGTAGATTGCATTTCAAGGGACAAAAAGCAAAAAAAAACAGCTCTACCGTTCTTAATCAAAGTGTGGAACTGATGCAGACTTCATAAATCCGTCTCTAAGTCTTCCCAAGTGATGGGGGCTGAGCAACGGTTCCAGGGTGGATGTGGCTGAAGCCCCAAAACCGGATAGAAATCGTAGCCAACAAATAGAAAATGACCCGAATGTTTTGCATACCACGTAAAACAAGAGGAAAGATGTTACCAACCGGATGACCGAGGGATCCTGGAATACGGTTTTGGGCCCTTCATGTCTAAAAACCGGGGAATTCGGTCAGATTCTCCTCACGTCTCTGCTCAGTCAATCCTGCGCTCTCTGAACTTCGAAGCAGGAAGTCGAAATTCTCTTCTCGTCAATTTTACCTTGACATCTGGTCTCATCACCAGTTAAAAAGTTCACCTAAACGAATACATACATTACACACCAATTATAAACCCCCAAAGCTTTAAAGTGTGACAGTCGGTGGCCCAAATTCCCCTTTGTCAGTTATCATTGAATGCATCATACTGTAAGTATAACCCTAACCTACAAAAGCAGTTACAAAGGTAAACACTGGTTACATATTGGCCATAAATCAAACATTTCTTCATTTAAAAAGCCAAAATTAGATCCAGTGGAAGTCCAGAGCTGATATGTGACGCAGGAACAGTCCTGAATGATCTCAGTAACCAGGAAACGGCCACTTTATCCTTTTATCTCCTCATACAAACAACCATTAAGAGTAATTCATCAATGTAGCGTCAAATCTTCAAAAGTAATGATGAAAATTATGGTTTTTATTTTGTCATAATATCACCTCATATTGTCACGCCTGGGGGAATGTCTCGTCTTGATTACCTATTGTGTAC